AGAGACAGAGCTTTTAACATCTCTAAATAAGTCGTGGTTTTTAAATAAGGAAAATCTGTTGTCTTAAACTGTACCTTGTCGGCCTACAGGTACCTAATAGTCTGTGGGGGCCGTCTGAATGCAAAGCTCTTTGTAAATCGCCAGATTGTAGAGACTTCAAGGGTGGGCTGAGTGAACAGTTTGAGTAGGCAGGCATGATCCAGCATTGTGATTAAGCTCCAACTGTGACTCACTCTCCACTGCCATTCAAACTAATTGCTCTCTGTTCTGATTATAGAATTCACAGTCCCTGATGCCATTTTAAGCAACTTTTCTGTTTTGAAAACACAACAGTCCTGAATTACTGCTGCTTAAAATGGAATTATCTGTTAACTAGAAATAGTTTGGCTGTCATTCATAACATGTTGATATTTTATTAGTGCCAATTTTTACTAGTTTGTAGTTTAGGTGAGTGGTTAATTCATATTTCCCTTTGTTGTGTTCGTATTATCCATCAAACTCTGTAAATCAAAATGTTTCTATATTTATTGGTTTTAGAGTTCCTCCCGTACTAATGGTGGCGCTGTTGTGCTCAGACCGCATGGGCATCACGACCAGAATAAAAGAAGCCCACGTCTCCCCAGGGTCAAGTATTGAAGATGTGACCAGATTTGACCTGCAGAGGTACTGATCAATTTGTATTATGAACACGTTTCAGATAATGATATTAAAGCCGACTAATAAATGCAAGCCGCGTTTAGACAATGCTGTTTGTTTCTTTACCTCGATGTCATGACTTACGTTTCATAAGAGAGAACACACTCCCTCATGTTCTGTTGAGATCGAATTTATGGTATGTTTGTTTGATGTAAGTGTAATAATAATAATGATGTAATTACAAAATTAACTCATTTTCTTTTCATTTTTCTTTTCCTCTCCTTCCAGAAAAGGATATTAATTTGATATGTCATATCAATGGCCAAAGTGTTCTGACTTCCCTCGTATAATCTGTGTGTGAGTGTGAATAGATAGATAGATACTGATGTACTCAAGGAAAATCTTAACTTATAATATTTTTCATGGTGGACATTTAATCTGTGTTATTCTAATTTTTTTATTGAACAAAAATATTTATGTGCCCATCAGTGCAAGGTGTGTCATTGATATTTTGTTCTGTTTCTTCAAAAGCCAATTTACTGTAAATTCTTAATGCGTATACATATATATATATATCTATAAAAATTGATTTATATGAGCTGAAAGACCCCAAACAGAGCATGAGGGTTAATAGTGTCGTCTCATAAATGTAATTCAAAAACTACTGGAACATCCTTGACCCTCAAGGTATCTAGTGTTTTTCTTCGCAATCCCAAGAAAAATATGTCATGATCTCATTATAAAGAAACTGTCTTACTAGTTACTTTTTTGCTGTTTTCTCCAAAGCTAATATCTAGTTACCATAAGTAGCCTAAATTATCTTAGGTGTTGGTGTAAAATAACTTGGCTCTTCTGTGATATTGGCATTTTGTGGATGGTAGCAATTAGACAGCTAGTTGTTTTCTGCTGACAATTCTTTATCCTGTAAGTAGATGGTTTGTAGTGTCTGAATGCTCATTCTGTTGACTCGAAAGACTGCATGTGATATCAGCTTTACGTGAGTAAATGGGCATGAGGAAGTTTTTAATTAAAACAGTTTGAGACTTAAAGTAGATTTTCTGATATGTTTTTCCAATTGTTTCAGGCACATTACTTGCATGCAATGCAAACAACAGCCCCGCCCACAGACCTGTAGATTGTGCAAACATGTTGCGATTAGTCTCGACATCGCTGTGTCTCTACTGCCAGCGGGCTCAAGTGACTCCTTTGCTTCTCACGAGGCCCTGCTCCTCGATCGTTCAAGAAGAGAACCCGCTTGCCATAAATGCCCTGTACGACTTGTCTGTAGACATCAGTAAAGTCCGGAAGCTGAAGGGTTGGGTGTTGCGCCAGAGTCCCGTGTACGTGAACGAGACCGCCACTCTGCTGAGGGACATGGGGGCTAGTGGGCCTGTTATCGCCCGCGTTTTGGAACTCCATCCTGAGGCCATCCTCTGCAAACCTGATCAAATGGAGGCTCAGAAAAAGCTGTGGATGTCCGTGTGCACCAGCCAGAAGGATCTAGTAGGAATCATTGAAAAATTCCCCACCTAGTTTTTCTCCTCGTCCTCCGATCACGACAACCAGAAAGCTAACATTGCGTATTTCCAGACGTTACATCTCAACAAACGCATCATTAGCAAGCTCATGGCCAGTGCCCCTCAGAGCTTCAGCCGACCCATGACGCAAAACAAGGAGATGATCCAGACTCTGCAGAAGACCTATTTGGACTTGGGTGGGAAGGAGGACAACATGAAGACCTGGTTGCAGAAGCTGCTTACTCAGAATCCCTACGTGCTTCTAAAGCTTCCAGAGGTACTGCACGATAACTTGGCGTTCCTACGCAATGTGGGCTTTACTGGCGATGAGCTCTTGCGGCTGCTTTCCAAACTGAAGGGATATGTTACTGAGCTGAACCCTGAAAGTATGAGACTCACCCTCAACTACTCCCAGGAGACTTTGGGATGCACAGAAGCAGAGCTCAGGCAGATCGTACTTCAGTGTCCAGCCTTGTTATACTATTCTGTGCCTATACTAGCTGATCGCTTCAAATGCCTCCTCACTGCTGGAGTAAGTATGGAGCAGATCATGGAGACTCCCACAGTGTTAGAACTGACAACGCAGATCATTCAATATCGCATTCAGAAACTGCGCTCTTTTGGTTATGATGTACGTTCAGGTAACCTGGAAGTCCTCGACGGCACCAAGAAGGACTTTGAGGTGAGCTATGGGAAGTTGCATCTTAGACGAGAGAGGCCACTTTTTAATCCAGTAGCTCCACTTCAAACAGAAGATTAAGCATGGAAGCCTGTTTCCACCATGAAATAAAGTAATTATGACTTTCTATCTCAATTTTGACTTTATTTCTCACAATTCTGAGTTTACATCTGGCAATTTTGAGTTAAAGCTGCAGTCCATAAGTTTTACCTCTTTGTCGCCCATCTCTGTTTGAAAACCTGCAATTGCAGCTGTCTGAATGATCTTCCTTGCGTGGGTTGTGCAGTGGCACAGCTCCAGCGCGGATGAATGTAATGTTTTGAGGAGTATGTGTGGCAGTCAGTCACCGCATCTGTGTGGATATTTACTGTACTTCGCAATCACAGATTCTAGCCTACGTCTTGGAATATATGACCCAAATAAAAATGTTCATCGTATATTGTCATCTGAACAAGTAAGTAACAAGTCTGCCACGTTTTTTCTGACCAACTGAGGAATAAAGCATTAAAATAAATCGCGTTACCAATGGTGATTTAATCTAACAATCAGTTAGCTCATATCACATCAGACCGTTCAAATTATTCTCAAATTGTTCATGTTAACAACATCAGCATTGGTGACTGTGAATATATAGTGTGTATTAGCGTGTAGATTTCAATTTCTGCAATTTTGAGTTTAAATCTCGCAATTTTGAGTCAACATCTCACAGTTTGTATTTATCAGAATTGCGAGTTCATAACACAGATCTGTTTTATTTCTCGCAGTTCTTAGTTTATATTCCAGAATTCTGAGAAAAAAGTCTGAATTCTGATATAAAAAGTCGCAATTACAATTTTTTTATTGCATGTCAGAAACAGGTTTCCATAATTAAAATGGTATGTGCTATAAACAGTATATTAACAGCGGTTTCCTTTGTCTGTTTTCTGTATGAATACACTTATTTATTTTATTCATTTGCTTAAAGGAATAAATTGTCGAATGTTTTGTTAAAGCTGCAGTCTGTAAATGTTGTCTCTTTGTCGCCATCTCTGTTTGAAAACCTGGAATTGCAGCTGTGTGCAGAATTATCTAGCTTGCGTGGGTTGTGAGTCGACACGGCTCCAGCACGGATGAATCTAATGTTCTGAAGAGTATGTGTGGCAGTCAGTCACCGCACCGGTGTGGATATTTACTGTACTTCGCAATCACAGATTCTAGCCTACGTCTTGGAATATATGACCCAAATAAGAATTTTCACCGTATATTGCCATCTGAACAAATAAGTAACAAGTCTGCCACGTTTGTTCTGACCAACTGAGGAAAAAAGCATTACCATAAATCGCGCTACCAATGGTGATTTAATCTAACGATCGCTTAGCTCATATCACATCAAACCGGTCAAATTATTATTATTGTTATACTTTATTCTCAAATGATTAATGTTAACAACATCAGGCAGCATTGGTGACTATGAGTATAGTGTGTATTAGCGTGTAGATTTCAATTTCTGTACAGTCTAATCTAATTGTCATACTCTTCGAATTTCATATTAGAAATTCTTTTAACCCAAATATACTCCCTTCAAACTGGTTTTCTTTCAAATGCAAATCTTTGTAATCCCAGGCTATCTGTAATCAGAACCACATGTATAACTGGAATATAATTTAATTTCATTCACGTGTGTTTCATAAACACATAATCCTTTCTAATCTAATTGTCATACTCTTCGAATTTCATATTAGAAATTCTTTTAACCCAAATATACTCCCTTCGAACTGGTTTTCTTTCAAATGCAAATCTTTGTAATCCCAGGCTATCTGTAATCAGAAGCACATTTATAACTGGAATATAATGTAATTTCATTCACATGTGTTTCATAAACACATAATCCTTTATAGATTACAATCCGCCATCAAAATTATACATTTAATTATTTTGGCTGCTGTGAGAAAAGGCTATAAACGATCCGCCACCTGCAGGATCCTCACATGCGATAGCCTAGTAGCCGGGACAACTTCTTTATGTTTACAGAAGTAACGTAATGACGCAGCGCCATGCTCGAATTTTCCGCGAAAACCTACCTGTACCACTCAAATTAGAAAACATTATTATAAGATAACCGTTGTGAATCGGGCTAAAGTAAGGCGATAGCTTTGAACACTGGCTGGTTATGTACTTGCTCAGATATTGATTTCGGATCATTTTTAACCAAAAAAAGTTACGGACTGCAGCTTTAATGTCGTGGAAGGTGGTTCTTACCAAATACAACATTGTCAACCCATATTGTGCTCGACGAAAATGTCATTTTATGTCATTTCTCTCCCTTACGATATTATAAATGTACATTTTTGTCATGGCACTGGGTCATTGTTGTATTGCCACGTACATATGTGTTGTGCCAAGTAATTTATGTAGCTTTTGAAATTCTTCCAACAAAATCTCTAATAATGAGCAATATAAAATACCTCTTGGAGGTATGTATTATGCAGATAAATATTCAGATCATTGAATGTTTACCCGTGTGCTGCCGACAGAATCTTATTTGCAAGCATTTCCCAATATTTTGCCCTCTGGGCAGCATTTTGAGATAATTTTGCGCTTTTTAATGTTTAGACTAAAGACTTCACTGGTATCTCTAATGAAGTTAAAGTACATATTGCCTTGTGGCATTTGCTGTTTACGCAGTGGACTTTATGATTTCATGGTTACTATTAAATTTCTCACAAGCTTCTCAGAGCTTCAAAATACTGGATGTTTTTGAGCATGATTAGAGCTGATAATTAAATTAATTTATGCATCACATTTTGGGGCAGGCTTCACTCATATTTATTGCTGTTCTGATTATTCTACATCCCTAAATTCTTGCCTCTGCCATTCTCCTTTATTCTCTATTCTTTGTCCACTCTTAGTGTACGACTCAGACCGGATGGCTGCTTTATCCTGCAAATGACACTTTGAGTTATACCCGAACACATAGGAGGTTAATAAGCGAGGATATAAATAGCTCTTTTTCATTTGAAATGTGACAGTGGGTATTATTAGCAAATGTTACACATTGATTTTAAGGGGCATAACTCAGGGAAATGATGAAAATAGATGACACATGCAATTAAAGTCTATAATTTCCTGCCCTGGACTTTGCATGCTGGAATATTAAGGTGGTAAATATTCCATCTCTGAGGTCATGTTGAAGCCCTCCGCTGTCCTCTGTGCAATCTGCTCTCAGATCTCCTAATCAGAATGTGCTGGATGTGAATGTCAATGTGGACATTTTAGATTTAAAAACCAGTAATACCACCAATAACGCCACAAATAGATAAAAGAATTCAGTAATATGAATTTTCTATTAATTATGGTAAACTAGCATGGGATGATATTGGTGTAGCCATGTAGGTCATATTTTAAAAAAGCTTAATCTTATATATTTAGAATAAGAACTATTTTACTTTAATATAAAGTGTAAATCTAACCTTTAAAAAAATCACTATTTTTGAAAGTATGTCTTGTACTCACCAAGATGTCATTTATTTGATCAAAAATACAGTAAAACAGTAACACTGAAATATTATTACTATTTTATACAACTTTTCTATTTTTTAATATACTTGAATGGCAAAGCTTAATTTTATCATTTGTTTATTACGCCACTCAGTGTCACATGATCCTTCAGAATTCATTCAGTTATGCTGAGTTGGTGCTCAAGAAACATGATTTTTTTATTATCAATGTTGAAAACAGTTGTGCTGCTTATTATTAAGAGACGTGCTGAAATGGCGTTTGGTCTCGTACTGTATCGCGTACCTTGTCAGTGTCGTGAGCTTTGCGTGGCCATTTGTTGGGATAAACAGGAAAGTGTGTCCAGCTGAATTCAATTTGAGTTTTGTTAAACGAATTAAAAAGAAGCTTAGTTTACCGCAGGAGCAGTCGTGTGAAGACCGAAGAGTGTAAAGACCATCGACTCTACCCTGCGACTCCACCGGGCAGGACACCGGCAAAGGACACAAGTATCGCTTTTTATCTCTCCTCTTTCCACTTCTGTTTCAGTTTTTTATAATCTAGTTCTTACTATGTGTCAGTAAGTTGTTGTTATTTTAGCATGTGTGTTTGCCTCTGTTATTTTTTTAGGATTACTGATGAACTAATGTACTTTGATTTGTATTAGTCATCTGTTTTAGTTTTAGTTACAGTTGTAGTAATGTTGTCATTTTATTAGTTTTTTTTATTATGTCTATATAGGCTTTTTATTAAGTTTTACTTTTATTTATTTTGAGTTATTACAGTACTTCAACATACAAAATGGAAATGAAGTTCTATATATATGTGTGTGGCTGTACATACATGTAGTTGTTTTTTGGTGTTTGGCTTAGTGTTATGTTAGAATCATTATTATACTCATACCTTTTGTTCTGAATATTTTTGAATTGTTTTTAGCTTTATTTTTTTTGTTTTCATTTAAATGTTTTAGCTTTTAAATGTATGCATTTGTCATTTTTATTTAATTTATTTTCTTAAGTGTGTGTGTGTGTGTGTGTGTGTGTGTATGTGTGTGTGTATATATATATATATATATATATATGAGTTTTAATTACTTTTTCTTATTTGTAAGTCGCTTTGGATAAAAGCATCTGCTAAATGACTAAAAGTAAAGGATTCTTTGATGAATGGAATGTTCAAAAGAACAGTGTTTATGTGAAATAGATTTTTTTGTAACAATGTTTTTACTGTCACTTTTGATCAGTTTAATGCATCTTTGCTGAATAAAAGCATTCATTTTAATAATAATAATAAAAATCACTGACCCCCAAACTTTTGAAGTTTATATTGTCAGCATAACAATTAACACATTTATAATTATTTGGTATGTCTCCCTTTTGCTTTTATGTTTTCAATGTTATCCAGCATGCTTTGAGAATGTTTTAAAAAAGAATCTTGTGTGAAATGACTGGTGAGCCAAACTCATGTTTGGGAAGGCCAGTTATAGACCTCAAAAAGGACTTCATCCTAGCTACAGACTCCATCTAGTGGGGAGAGTCGGTCACTGTCACAATGAATACTGGACAATCACTCAGATATATAGAAAAATAATAATAACATCCTATTAAATGTGGTCAATGAGTTGCTGCACACTTTACATTTTAATTTGGATTAGAAACAAACTTTATTATAGCGCCAAAGATTTAATTTGACAAAAAACAACTGTATAGGATATCACAAATCTAAGAAGTTAAATACACTGCCTACATAACATACACGACAGAAAAACTAATAGCCTACTAACAGCAGATGGTATCTATACACAAACCATATATATGACTCCTACTGTGTCCCATCCCCCTGATCTGCTTTGATTCCCCCCAGATTTCTGAGCCAAGTGGATTTTAAATGCAGCTTCCAAAAGACAAAAAATAGCCAAATAATATTTTTTTTATATTTGATACAATCACACCGGTGTGATTAGATCGTTTAGTGCGGCACAGCATCAACTGCTATTCAAATCTGTGTTCGCGTTGAGCCAGAGACAGACGCGTTTGTACAGCGCTGCATTAAAACCAATCACACACGATTCCGCTGAGCTTATGAATGCAATGGCCAATCAGAGACGTTCAGATGAGCCATCGCTGAACGCGGTGTTTTGTTTACTTGCTCGCTGGACTGTGCAGATGCGAGTACGAATGTAAGATATTCATTTCACAGTGTAAATGGCTTCAGTGATTTAAATGGGAGTTTTTTTTAGAGTGCCTGAACTCTGGCTAGATTGAAGTGAAAATGGTCTGTTCTTTGCTCTCTGTAAAATGAAAATGTTATAGCCTAATATAGTAACTTACAATATTGTTATTAAATTCACATGAAATACAGTCAGTCGTATTAAAAATATTTTATGGCATGACACCCATATCTGGTAGGCCTACTTAAGTAAAAAGTCGGGTTTTTATGTTTAGTTAGGCTAACAGATTACACTATTACTCTACCTTAATTGTCACCCACAAATAACAATCTGGTGCAAAACGCATTTACTTACACATGTTTGAGAATCGAGATATTTCCTGATATAGTTAACACGTTTGGAAATATTTCGAATAAAAAGGAAAAAAAATTTAAATAAAACATAAGCCTATTACTGTATATAATTTATACAGTGCTATTGTGGCTGCGTAGAACACAACGTTTCTCAGGGGAATGCGGATGTTTTGCGAGAGAGTGCAAAAGGGAATGCAACAAAGAAAAAGTAAACACAAAATGTCTCGGGAAATTAATAGTATTGCGAGAGAATGCAACTGTTTTGCGAAAGAACGTAAAGCTTCTCCAGGGGGGAAGCAATACATTTGCGAGACAACACATTTTTCCCTCCTTTCTCATATTTATTTCCATCACCATGTCCCCTTTGGGGCTCCGTAGTTTTAGATTATGTACAGGTGCATCTCAATAAATTAGAATGTCGTGGAAAAGTTCATTTATTTCAGTAATTCAACTCAAATTGTGAAACTCGTGTATTAAATAAATGCAATGCACACAGACCGAAGTAGTTTAAGTCTTTGGTTCTTTTAACTGTGATGATTTTGGCTCACATTTAACAAAAACCCACCAATTCACTATCTCAACAAATTCAAATACTTCAAGACCAATAAAAAAAACATTTTTAGTGAATTGTTGGCCTTCTGGAAAGTATGTTCATTTACTGTACATGTACTCAATACTTGGTAGGGGCTCCTTTTGCTTTAATTACTGCCTCAATTCGGCGTGGCATGGAGGTGATCAGTTTGTGACACTGCTGAGGTGGCAAGAAAGCCCAGGTTTCTTTGACAGTGGCCTTCAGCTCATCTGCATTCTTTGGTCTCTTGTTTCTCATTTTCCTCTTGACAATACCCCATAGATTCTCTATGGGGTTCAGGTCTGGTGAGTTTGCTGGCCAGTCAAGCACACCAACACCATGGTCATTTAACCAACTTCTGGTGCTTTTGGCAGTGTGGGCAGGTGCCAAATCCTGCTGGAAAATGAAATCAGCATATTCAAAAAGCTGGTCAGCAGAAGGAAGCATGAAGTGCTCCAAAATTTCTGGGTAAACGGGTGCAGTGACGTTGGTTTTCAAAAAACACAATAGACCAACACCAGCAGATGACATTGCACCCCAAATCATCACAGACTGTGGAAACTTAACACTGGACTTCAAGCAACTTGGGCTATGAGCTTCTCCACCCTTCCTCCAGACTCTAGGACCTTGGTTTCCAAATGAAATACAAAACTTGCTCTCATCTGAAAAGAGGACTTTGGACCACTGGGCAACAGTCCAGTTCTTCTTCTCCTTAGCCCAGGTAAGACGCCTCTGACGTCTGTGGTTCAGGAGTGGCTTAACAAGAGGAATACGACAACTGTAGCCAAATTCCTTGACACGTCTGTGTGTGGTGGCTCTTGATGCCTTGACCCCAGCCTCAGTCCATTCCTTGTGAAGTTCACTCAAATTCTTGAATCGATTTTGCTTGACAATCCTCATAAGGCTGCGGTTCTCTCAGTTGGTTCTCTCAGTGTATCTTTTTCTTCCATACTTTTTCCTTCCACTCAACTTTCTGTTAACATGCTTGGATACAGCACTCTGTGAACAGCCAGCTTCTTTGGCAATGAATGTCTGTGGCTTACCCTCCTTGTGAAGGGTGTCAATGATTGTCTTCTGGACAACTGTCAGATCAGCAGTCTTCCCCATGATTGTGTAGCCTAGTGAACCAAACTGAGAGACCATTTTGAAGGCTCAGGAAACCTTTGCAGGTGTTTTGAGTTGATTAGCTGATTGGCATGTCACCATATTCTAATTTGTTGAGATAGTGAATTGGTGGGTTTTTGTGAAATGTGAGCCAAAATCATCACAATTAAAAGAACCAAAGACTTAAACTACTTCAGTCTGTGTGCATTGAATTTATTTAATACACGAGTTTCACAATTTGAGTTAAATTACTGAAATAAATGAACTTTTCCAAGACATTCTAATTTATTGAGATGCACCCGTATGTGGAGAATAATGCACGGCAAGCATTTTTTTGAAAGTAGCGTTTATCGGTTTTTGCTAATTAAATATTCATTGACCTCCACTACAGATTAGAAATCAAATTTATGGCCTATGGCAGTATTTTGTTGCAATGACATTTGGTTGAAATAAAAATAAAAGTTCGATTCTGTTGACATCCAGCAGCAGTCGACATATTTATTTGAGAGCAGCGGCATAGGTGAGGGTTATCATCGAATAATGACTACATTTTGCCCTGTTCATATCACAAAGCAATCAGGCTTAAGCTACAGTATAAGGCATCAGAAGACTTGAAAAAGAGTCATATGAACTACTTTTAGGGTGTCTATTTGTGTTTTTTATAGAGCTTGACAGATCATGGTCACTACAAACTGTTTGTGTACTATAGGAAAAAATTAATCTTTTTAGCTTTTGTTCAGCAGAGAAACAATGCATACATACGTTTGGGACGACAAGAGGGTAAATAATTACCAACATGAGTAAATAATTACAGAATTTTCATTTATTTATTAATTAATTTTATTTGCATTTGAGTTCATGCTAATATTTATAATGACACTTTAAATGCATTTAATTGGTTTATAAATATCTTTGTATAAAAATCAACAGAATCATATTTGAATCCACTTAATTTCTAAGCAAAGCATTTGCTGTACTCTAAATAAACCTTGCGTAAAGAGCTCTGGGGGGGAAAAATGAATTCACCCAGACTCACCTGTACCCACCAACTTCATCCACGCAGGTGGCTCCGTTCTGACACCTGTGCTGGACACACTCATTTATGTTGACCAAGCAGGTCAGCCCAGTCCATCCAGGTGCACAAACACAACTGTAACTGGTGATGCTGTTAAGAACACAATGTCCTCCATTGGCACATGGCTGTCAAAATGAAAATCAACCATTATTCCAGAACAATCCTTCATTTAAATGTGTGTGTAAAGGTAATTCTGGTCTTTTGTAAACAGACGTGCTTGGTCCCAGTGTTAAATAAAACATGCTGGTTAATGAAGGAAAGCTAATGCATTTTAATTGCCATTTACGTTAATGGTGATAATCAACACAAGTAAAACAAATCCAACTGATCAAGCATGTTCAAAAGAGACATGCAATTTGCCATTGGTGATATAGTTCAGTGACAGAGTGTGCAAACAGCTTCACATCTTCAAAAGAATATAGTGTGCTAAGAACACAATTTTTATCCTGCTCTTTTCAAGTGGAAAGTGAGAGAGGGTGGTGTATGCATTTTGAATGGGTCCATGCACTGAAAAATATGCCTTATGCTTATGCCTTGTCAATATTGTTATTAAATTCACATGAAATACAGTCAGTCGTATTAAAAATATTTTATGGCATGACACCCATATCTGGTAGGCCTACTTAAGTAAAAAGTCGGGTTTTTATGTTTAGTTAGGCTAACAGATTACACTATTACTCTACCTTAATTGTCACCCACAAATAACAATCTGGTGCAAAACGCATTTACTTACACATGTTTGAGAATCGAGATATTTCCTGATATAGTTAACACGTTTGGAAATATTTCGAATAAAAAGGAAAAAAAATTTAAATAAAACATAAGCCTATTACTGTATATAATTTATACAGTGCTATTGTGGCTGCGTAGAACACAACGTTTCTCAGGGGAATGCGGATGTTTTGCGAGAGAGTGCAAAAGGGAATGCAACAAAGAAAAAGTAAACACAAAATGTCTCGGGAAATTAATAGTATTGCGAGAGAATGCAACTGTTTTGCGAAAGAACGTAAAGCTTCTCCAGGGGGGAAGCAATACATTTGCGAGACAACACATTTTTCCCTCCTTTCTCATATTTATTTCCATCACCATGTCCCCTTTGGGGCTCCGTAGTTTTAGATTATGTACAGGTGCATCTCAATAAATTAGAATGTCGTGGAAAAGTTCATTTATTTCAGTAATTCAACTCAAATTGTGAAACTCGTGTATTAAATAAATGCAATGCACACAGACCGAAGTAGTTTAAGTCTTTGGTTCTTTTAACTGTGATGATTTTGGCTCACATTTAACAAAAACCCACCAATTCACTATCTCAACAAATTCAAATACTTCAAGACCAATAAAAAAAACATTTTTAGTGAATTGTTGGCCTTCTGGAAAGTATGTTCATTTACTGTACATGTACTCAATACTTGGTAGGGGCTCCTTTTGCTTTAATTACTGCCTCAATTCGGCGTGGCATGGAGGTGATCAGTTTGTGACACTGCTGAGGTGGTATGAAAGCCCAGGTTTCTTTGACAGTGGCCTTCAGCTCATCTGCATTCTTTGGTCTCTTGTTTCTCATTTTCCTCTTGACAATACCCCATAGATTCTCTATGGGGTTCAGGTCTGGTGAGTTTGCTGGCCAGTCAAGCACACCAACACCATGGTCATTTAACCAACTTCTGGTGCTTTTGGCAGTGTGGGCAGGTGCCAAATCCTGCTGGAAAATGAAATCAGCATCAGCAGCTGGTCAGCAGAAGGAAGCATGAAGTGCTCCAAAATATCTTGGTAAACAGGTGCAGTGATGTTGGTTTTTAAAAAACACAATGGACCAACACCAGCAGATGACATTGCACCCCAAATCATCACAGACTGTGGAAACTTAACACTGGACTTCAAGCAACTTGGGCTATGAGCTTCTCCACCCTTCCTCCAGACTCTAGGACCTTGGTTTCCAAATGAAATACAAAACTTGCTCTCATCTGAAAAGAGGACTTTGGACCACTGGGCAACAGTCCAGTTCTTCTTCTCCTTAGCCCAGGTAAGACGCCTCTGACGTTGTCTGTGGTTCAGGAGTGGCTTAACAAGAGGAATACGACAACTGTAGCCAAATTCCTTGATATGTCTGTGTGTGGTGGCTCTTGATGCCTTGACCCCAGCCTCAGTCCATTCCTTGTGAAGTTCACTCAAATTCTTGAATCGATTTTGCTTGACAATCCTCATAAGGCTGCGGTTCTCTCGGTTGGTTGTGCATCTTTTTCTTCCACACTTTTTCCTTCCACTCAACTTTCTGTTAACATGCTTGGATACAGCACTCTGTGAACAGCCAGCTTCTTTGGCAATGAATGTTTGTGGCTCCTTGTGAAGGGTGTCAATGATTGTCTTGTGGACAACTGTCAGATCAGCAGTCTTCCCCATTATTGTGTAGCCTAGTGAACCAAACTGAGAGGCCATTTTGAAGGCTCAGGAAACCTTTGCAGGTGTTTTGAGTTGATTAGCTGATTGGCATGTCACCATATTCTCATTTGTTGAGATAGTGAATTGGTGGGTTTTTGTTAAATGTGAGCCAAAATCATCACAATTAAAAGAACCAAAGACTTAAACTACTTCAGTCTGTGTGCATTGAATTTATTTAATACACGAGTTTCACAATTTGAGTTGAATTACTGAAATAAATTAACTTTTCCACGACATTCTAATTTATTGAGATGCACCTGTAAACATAAAACAATTCCAGTATCATGTTTGTCCGTCTGGTCTCTTCACAGCTTCAGTTTTAAGCTTCTTTCTTGAAGACTTGAAATTGAAATTTAATACCATTTTCTTCATGAATTTCATCTGGTACTCCGGGAAAGCTTATATAAAGAAAATAAACAATTAATCAGACAAATTACAATGCATTTGATGCATAATATGAGGCAAGTATTATCAGTAAGACTTTACAACAAGGTTCCATTTGTTAACATGAACTCACAATTAAACATACTGCTAAAGCATTTATTAATCTTAGTTCATATTCATTTCAGCATTTACTACATTATTGAAATAAAAATTTGTGTCTGTACATTTAATTTAATGGACCTGAGTTTACATGAACTAACAATGAACAAACATTAACAACGATTAATAAATACTGAAACAAATGTATTGCTCATTGTTAATGTTAGACGATGCATTAACTAATATTAACAAATAGGACCTAATTGTAAAGTGTTGCCTTATTATATTCGTAACTCAAATCATAAATGGGATAATCGTACCCCTTTTGTTTTCTGAAAACATTGCGGTCAAATTTTGGGAAAAAGACATCACAGTCAAAGTCGGCCATGATGTCAGTGAGATAGATGAGATCACACCATGGATGCTCAAGACTTTCCTAAATAACACAGTTAAAATATTAATTGAATTACTGTATAAATTTACACTAATTACATTGTATATATACTGTATGTTGCATAAATCAGGCTTCTCACCTTATACACCTCTGGGCCTCCTAAAACCCAGATGGTCTCCACAATGTGACATAAGGGAGGTTCAGAAGCCAGGTGAATTACTGATCCGAAATCCTTACACAGATAGTGGGCACGTGGAGGCACTGCACTAAAGTAATGCAGAATACAGTAAATAAATACAGAAATCATAATATACGCTACTGTTCAAAAGATTGGGGTCAGTATATTTTTTTATGTTGTTGAAAGAAATCTCTTATGCTCACCAAGCCTGCACTTATTTGATCAAATACTAAAAATAAAAATAATAATATTGTGAAATATTATTATAATGAAAAATTTTAAAAATGTAATTTATTCCTGTGATGCAAAGCTGAATTTTCTGCAGCCATTTCTCCAGTCGCTAGTGTCACATGATCCTTTAGAAATCTTTTAAAGATTCTGATTTTTTTTATTATTATAAAGGTTGAAAACAGTTATGCCGCTTTATATTTTTGTGGAAACTGTTATACATTGTTTAAAGATTCTTTGATGAATATAAAGTTCCAAAGCATACAACATTACAACATTTATATGAAATATAAATCTTTTGTAACATATACATTTCTTTACTTTTGATCAGTTTAATGCATCCTTGTTGAACAAGTGTTGATTTCTTAAAAAAAAAAAATCTTACTGACCCCAAACTTTTGAATGGAAGTGCAGTTGCATAAAAATGTTTATAAATGAACATACTTACGTCAGCTTCCTGCTCAATACCAAATTGGTGCAGTTGGCCAAAGGGAAGACCGTCTCAGAACAGGAGAACCAGCAGATTCGACCCCAGACAACCAGATTCTTCTTCCCTGATGTGCACCAGAGAAAAAAAACATTTTTTTAATTATACTGTTAAAATTACATTAACTAAAATATAAATATTTTAAAATCCAAACATAACATTTAAAGACACTTACCAGGTGCTGACACAGCTGTAATTGTATCCATAAAGAACTGAAATTCTTTTCTGTAAACAACACGAGCACATTAGATATTCTGTGCGCCATTTGACACATTAATTCAACTTTGATAACAGCAAAGTGTGCAAAATGCAATTTGAGCTGCATGACAAATATCTTTGATGTGTTTATAGCTTTCAAAAAAGCAGGGTTGTGTGCCCAAATCAGAGTTGAACCAAAGTTATCCTGCATCACACTGCATGCATTGATCCTGTTTAATAGGTATGACTAAGAAGGCTCATACCAACATAATATTATATACCAGAAAGATAAAAAAATTCCCAATAGTCTATAGCCCCTGTCTGCACATGCTGTTATCTCTTATCTCAAACGGGGCGGGCACTGAGGGGCTCGAAGTTTCCATCGCTCTAATTCAAACACTTGCTGACATTCAGTTTGAGAGGTCTAAAGGTCAGTAACATATTCCACGAGAAAGAGAGAGAAAAAATGGTTAAAAAAAGTGGTAAAAATAAACATTTCAAAATAAAAAGATCAAAATAATTTTATGTGAGCTGTGTGTGTGTGTGTGTGTACACACACACACACACACAGGTTTGTTTTTATGGTTTATGGGGACTCTCCATAGACGTAATGGTTTTTATACTGTACAAACCGTATTTTCTATTGCCCTACACCAACCCTACCCCTAAACCTACCCCTTACAGGAAACTTTCTGCATTTTTAGATAAAAAAAAAAAAACTCATTCTGAATTATTTATAAGACTTTTGAATTACAGGGACACTGAAAATGTCCTCATAAATCACCTTCTCGTTGTAATACCTATGTCATACCCATGTTATTATACAAATTTGTGTCCTCATAAACCACAAACACACACACACACAGAGAGAGAGAGAGACAAAAACTTCAACTTAATAAGAAACAATCTTACAAAAACTTGTAACTTGTACCATGGATTTAAATTGTTGCACACAGTCCAGAAGGTACAAGACCGCTGTAATCAGACAGACACCGATTTGATGTTTTTAACTAGTTATTGCTATATAACTAGTTTATGTCTCGAATGCTAATAAAGGATTTGGACACCAAAGTGTACGTCGACCGTCCCCGATGAAGAATTCGTCACGTCACGTCGTTCATGAATTCATCTGATTACTGATGCAAACTATTCATTCATATCTAACATAACTTATAAAATAGAGCGATTCCAACTGGACAAAATCACTGGACTGAGTGAGCATTGTAACTGAGTATGTCTTACGGAAGGCTCCAGGGAAGCTGTCCGTTCTTTCCTATGCCCATGTCACTGCAGGCAGCCGCGATGAGCCGGATTGGTTTGCGCATCTCCTCCCCCTCGATGTTCATCATTTACGACTTTCGCTAAGAACAGCTTATCTGGTTTATGTTACACACTACCGTCGTCCACTGGGCTTTAGATGAGGTGTTCGCATCCTTCTCGACCTCAACCCCCGTTAGATTGTGGAGCTTTTAAACATCTGCTTGAGTCACCATGTGACACCATGGGTGTGGCTGTCTGTAATCAATGGTGTTTACAGGTTAACGAACCAGATAAATAAAAGGAAAACATTATTCTAACTATACCTTTTTATTATACCTTTCCTTAAACAGATGTCTGACAACAAGTAAAATAGAGTCTTTTGTGGCGAGTCTGAAGTAATGGCTGCTGAAAATTAAGCTTTGCCATCACAGGAAAAATTACTAAAATATATAATTATTTTAAATTATAGCAATATTTCAAAATAATTTTTGATCAAATAAAATGCCTTGGTGAGACGTTATAAAATATAACAAGATCTTTTGAATGGTAGTGCATACTGTCATATTAAAGTTTGGAAGGCAAGAACTGCATTACTCAGAGATATTTTCCATGTGTCTTTACTGTGCATGTACATTTTAAAATTTAGGGTCACAATTACAAAATTACAAACAGATTAACAAGTAATTTATTGACGTCGTCTGACAGGTCATGCAACCAATATGTAATTCATACAAACATAATAGTAATCTGATCGTGTAAAACAGATTACATGTGGTCTGTTAATAGTCAACACTGATAATGAATGTTAAGAAAATCAAAATAAATTCAATAATACTGATGAACATGCTCTCATAATCACGGTAACACTGTAACAGGTCTATCATGCTTTAATGGTGATTTATAAAGACGACATTACAACATTCAAAAAAATGTATTGTCTCTCATATAAAAAATATAACAGCAAGTCTGTAAATAAGCAAGAAAAAAGTTATGTACAGTGGTTTGCAGACTGAATTACTTACAGTATACACTTATATACATAGTAGGTTTGTTTCCCTGTAATTGTCTTGAAACAAATCCACTTGTGCTTAAGAGCCACAGGCCTCAATGATAATTACTAAATAAAGCAAAAATCGGACTAAATATACAGCCACAGATGAATAGCCCTGATTTTGAAAAGTCTGTGCTTTCATCAAAATATAATCCTCCACAAACATGAGGTAAACCCTTCTTTTCATTGCAAGATCGGGTGTGTTTAAACTAGTCTGTCATTGACTTGTTATAAGCAAATCACAACAAAGAACAAATTATATAGTGTAGTTCAATTAAATGAAAACATTTTAGGCCCCAGTGAGACAGCTTGAGTTCAGAATATGCTATGAGTCCTCCGAAACCGTTTGAACAGAACTCACCCCTCTGTGACTGTTTGTGAGCTTGTCCAACAATACCAACACCTGAGTAACCTAGATCGGAAAGACAGACATCTTAATAAAGCAGCCTCACATGTAAGCAGCATTTATTATATTTCAAAATCCATTCATCTGTGTCAATACACACCTGGTTGTGGCTGTACACTGTTGACAGACAGTTGATCACATGACACTGTAAATGGTGAGAATTTTGGTTGAGAACTTGCTGGTGATGGGTGCACTGCTGGTAAAGAAAGGGTAAATATTCCAACACAAGTATAACTGAAATGAACCAAACTGCCAATACACACAATGAATAAAAGTGCACAATATAACTAAACTTGGATCAAACTTGGACCAGGGTTTCACAAAAACGGGGGTTCTTTACACGTTTGCATAATTTCCAAAATTTTTGGAATATATTTTACATGTAAGGGGTTCGGCTGATGAAAACATTTGGAAACCCCTAGATTACAGCAAAAGCTCTCAGCATTATCAGACATTTCCAGAGATGAATTATAAGATGAGTATGACAATGCGCTTGTCGGTTTACCTGTAATGTGAGTGCTCTCCTGTGTGTTGTCTCCTGAGGAAGGACCTGCTCCATTACCATCTCCATTGTTGGTTGCGTTGGATGGAACAGTTGCAAGGAGCCCTGAAAAGCATTACAAGAAAGTTAAACGAGATTTTTTAAAGAGTTGGGGTTTTGAAAAAGCTCTGCATTTTCTTACCGAGGCCCCGGTAGCAGGACAGCTGCTGGTAAATCTGCTTCATTCGCTCGATGTTTATCCTGCTGGCCTCAGCGTGATTAACCATGGGTTTAGGGTAGTGCACTCCAATTATGCATTTAGCGATCTTCTGAACACTTTCTGGGGCATTCCAAGGGTCATAGATGAATTTGGCAGGGAAGCCCCTCAATATGGGCAAATAGTGTCTGTAATAATAATAATAATAATAATAAAATCAGCATTCAAAGAGAACGGTCTCAATATTGAAATAAACTGGTGATTTATATTTAACTGAATGTTTGTGGATGTCAGCAAGGGTTAAGAGTGGCACCTTATATAGTCTCCATTTGGGTCGGTACGTCGACCAAAGCCCACCGGACAGTAACAGTGAAAAAACTGCTGGAAGAATGAGCTGCACGAAAGCCACATCCAGCTTCCAGCGTTGACGCTCCAGTCTGCATCCAGCAACAACTCCTCAAACACCTTTAAAAACAAATCACACAAAATCAGTAAAGATTTTAATACAGAAAGCAACAACAGTTCTTTTATTGAAATTCAGAACAATGATTGCAGTACCTTCATGCCCTCTTCCCAGCTGATCCACAGGTCTCCACGTGTGAGGAAGCAAGCAACAGCGTGCCTGGCCAGATGGTGGATCCAGCCCTCCTGCCTCAACTGGGTCATTATGGCATCAATCCACGGGAAACCAGTCCGGCCCTCTGACCACTTCGCCAGAGCTTCGGGGTTCCTGTCCCACGGGATCTGCACGCAGATGGGATTGAACTCCATTTTGTCAAAGTGTGGGTTGTTAGTGGCAGTCATGTAGAAGAACTCACGCCAGAGCAGCTGGCCGTAAAGGGACAGTGGTGGAACACAATTTTTCTTGACCTGCATTTGAAAAGCCAGGAAAAAAAGGATGAGAATAACTTGTCAGCGACTTAAGATCGGTTATCAGAGTGATGAAAAGTACCTTAAAAGTCAGAGTAAGACAGTGCTGTTCACCTTTACCTTTCTGTAGAGGTCTGTGAGCTTGAAATGGAAAAGTCTGCAGGAGAGGCAGCCAAACCGGAGGTAAGGGCTCAGGCCTGTGGGGCTGGCCAGCAAGGAATTAGCATTCATTCTGGGACGCTCAAAATTAGCCACCCAAGCCTGAAAAAAAAAAAGAAGCCCAATAGGAAGTAGTTAATATATACAAACTATACTAACGGTCAAAAGTTTGGAGCAATCGAGATTTTTTTTTTATGTTGGTGAAAGAAGTCTCTTATGCTCACCAAGGCTGGATTTATTTGATGAAAAATACCGTAAAAACAGTAATATTGTGAAATATTATTACAATTTAAAGGGGTCATATGATGCGATTTAAATTTTTCCTTTCTCTTTACAGTGTTACAAGCTCTTGGTGCATAAAGAAGATCTGTAAAGTTGCAAAGACTAAAGTCTCAAATCCAAAGAGATATTCTTTATAAAAGTTAAGAGTCAGCCACACCTACCTAAAACGGCTCGTTCTAACACGCCCCTACATACCTTCGTCGCTATGTGGGAAGATTTGCATAACACCACCCAAATGTTCACGCAAAGAAAGAAGGCGTAACTTTTATTCTCGCTGTAGTTTTGTTGTTGCCGCCACTGCCATGTCGTAAAGATGCTGTGTGCTTCGTTGTAAAAGCAAAACTACTTTGTTTGGTCTTCCAAAAGAGGACGATATCTGCTTCGTCATGCCTGGAGCTGATCCGTGCTGGTTGCTGAGGAAATACATAAACTTTGCTTTGTGGATCGCCGGATCAGCTTTCACCATGTATGAAGCGGAGTCCAGCCCGGAGTCGTCACATGTCCTTCCGGACGCTCCTTCGTCGAAATCGCCGTTCTCAAGCCCACCCGCCTCTGCTTACTCTAACCCTCCGGCCGTTCCTCACGCTAGCCCCCGGCCTCTGCTCACTGTAAGGCGTGGTGTGTGACGCTGTTTCGTTGTGAAAGCGAAACTACTTTGTTTGGCCTTCCAAAAATGGACACGACTAGAAATCATTGGTTAAGTTGTATTTACAACACTGTTCCAGAACACTTCAACCCAAATATTCAGATGTGTGCAGCACATTTTATGGAGGACTGTTTCCTGATCCTGGGAGAGTACACTACAATGCTGTCTGTTCGGACTCAAAGACTGTAAGTACGTCTTTTATATTTAAAGAGTTTTTATATTTTATATATTTAAAACAAGTTTTTTGGAATAAACGAATGCCTCGTTTATAATGGGTTTTCATGTTTTTGAATCATCGCTCCGGCCTGACAGGGCATCATCACAATATGGCAAGGGGCGTAACATTTCCGTCTCACACTTGAGGTATTCAGCCAATCACAACGCACTGGATAGCTGGCCAATCACTGCACACCTCGCATTTTCAGACCGATTGCTTTGTAAAAATCGACGCGTTTCAGAAAGGCGGGGCATAGAGGAGAAACAATAATGTACAGTATGTAGAAAATAATGTGTTTTTTGAACCTTAAACCGCATAAACATTTCATTACACCAAATACTGTTCTCTTTAGCAGCATCATATGACCCCTTTAAAATAACTGTTTTCTATTTTATTATATACTTTAAAATGTAATTTATTCCTGTGATGGCAAAGCAGAATTTTCAGCATCATTACTCCAGCATCACATGATCCTTCAAAAATCATTCTAATACACTGATTTGCTACTCAAGAAACATTTCTTTTTATTATCAATGTTAAAAACATTTTTGCTGCTGAATAATTTTGTGGAAACCATGATATTTTATTTTCAGGATTCTTTGATTAATATGAAGTTCTAAAGAACAGCATTTATTTAAAATGTATTTATAACATTATAAATATCTGTCACTTTTAATCAATTTAATCCATAAACTATATTTAATGCATAGAGTTTTTGTTCATATTTTAAATAATATTAGATTTTTTATAATTTATGCTTTCATGTTAATTTTAGTTGACGCTAATAATTGTATTTTTGTCGTCTTTATTCGTTTTTTTGTTGTTGTTTTCAAATATATCTAGTTTTTATTCATTTTTATTTCCATTTTAGTTTACGCTATTTTAGTACATCAAGTTAAACTAAATGAAAATGTTGTCTTGGAAACTAGCTGAAATAAGTTTAAGTTTTTTTTATTTTATTTCAGTAAACATTTATTTTATTTCAAGTAATGCAAATTTTATGGTTTATAGTTTTAGCTAACTATAATAGCCCTGCTGAGTGCGCAATGATTATTATAATAAATATGGTGTAATACAATAAAAGCATAACTGCAAAAACTGTAATAGAGCACATGTCTACCTTCCTCTCCAGGTGTCTCTCTAGTCGAGTCAGAGCTTCTGTCTCTCCACCAGGCCACACAGCTGAGGACAGTCCATCCGTTTCAAAACCTGAAGACACAAATACTCATTCAAAATCTCATTTACAACAGACACATGCACATACATGCAAAGGGAGGGAACACAGGTGTCTCACCGAGCTCCTCCAGCGAGGGAACGCCAAACTTGTCGTCGTGGTCATCGCTGACTGGTGTGGCGCATTTGCCCATGACTACAGCCGTGATAGTCTCTGCTGGTATTTCCACAAGATCCATTCTGCTGATGAGCATCTGAAATCGTTTATAGGTGAGAGGAGACTGTCCTCCATTTAACTCTATGATCCTAGAGGCACAGAGAGAACACAAGGGACAATTAGAATATGTACACAATATTATGGCATTTCAGAGTTGTCAGGATACTAAAATTCAAAGCCAATAACAAGAACTTACATGTTTCCCACAACAAATGCTAATATGCTTTTGAACACACAACTTTTATTTTTGTGTAACACAATATTTTGTGTTTTAAATGCCATTTATTTTTGATATTCATATGATAGATTAAAAATCTCTGTATCTGTGTGATCTCTATCTGTCTGCATAACATTCTCAATAAACAGTTAACTATCAGGCATGATGGGCAACAGCTTCCCACAGTACTGCTGGCAGCTACGTAGGAGTCATATGGCAATGATTACAGATACACTCACTTGTCCAGGTCATAGAGTGTATGGGAGATCCTGACGAAGACTTCCACCCCTGCCTCAGTGGCCAGCTTCTTAATGGCTGCATCACGATCCTTCCCGAAGGGCTCGGAGTCATATTCATATGACAGCCGGGTGATTTTCCACTCCTAGGGAAAAAAAAAAAGAAAAAAGAGAGATGCAGAGTCAAATAAGGGGCAGACACAGAACAGCATGTACTGACAGAGAGTTTACACAAAACTGTTGAATAGGTTAAGGCGGTCTGTTCGCTAACCTTGAAAAGTCTTGGAAAGACATCCGTGGGTTGTCCCCTGATGACAAAGAGGCGAGAGTTAAGCTTGCGAAGGCTGGCGTCTAAGTCCTCAAGACATTGCAGCAAAAACCTGTAATACAAAGAGTAATCAAATTTTAATAAATGACAAGCAAATGAAACAGTAGTTTAGATAGACATAGTTGTTCATTTTAATCTCTTGCAGGAAGAGTGAGATTTTTCTGACTAGTCCAGCAGAGGGCACTAACAGACAAACACATTGGTTATATTCTGCGTTTCACGGGCTGTGTTCAGAATGGAATGGAATACTAGTTTCAGGGGTTCTGCAGACTTGAACAAGTTAAATGTAAGACTTTTTAAGACCTTTTTAATACCACCTTATATGAAATTTAAGACCTAAACCTGTAATGGAAATACACATTTTATTACATACATATGTGTAATATTTAATGTATATAAATTAAAAAGAAAACAAAATATCAATGCTGTAATAAATGGTATTTATTACTATGATATACAGTGAACTTTTCATGTCAGCAGACAATATTCCATACAAAATATCCCCACAAAATAACTGCGTCACTGATATTTTTGGTGGAGTAAACAAACTTTTGGTGAAGCAACATTTTCATCAGTGTTCTATCAGCTTTTACATACTTAAATCTGCATATTTACCTTTACAAATGCCTATTTTTAACCTTTTTAGATGTATGCATCATCTTACCTGTCAAATTATTACAATTTATCAATAAATTAAATATACATTATAGGGCTGCTACCAGTCAGATTAAATTATTTACACTGCAAATAACAATAATTACAACTGCAATAAATAATGTTATGAGATTAATGTTTTAAATGCATTTACGAATAAGAAATGTTGAGGGGAAAAATGCATACTTTTCAACAAACTTCTCAACTGAACTACCAGTAAGTGACGGTAAGTCATTCAACTGATTGAGTGCATTATCATGCTGGTATCTTAAGGACTTTCGTGGACAGCTGACTCAAAGTTTTTGATATTCTTTATATTCTGTGTGGTGGTCAGATAAGTTTAAATAGATTTGTACCTTTTATGGGCATTTTACCTTTATAAAGCCATTTTTCTATAAGTGTGCATTATCTTTTGAGTCAAATTCTTACATTTAATCAGTGAATAAGAATAAGACATTTGGGCTGTTACCAAGCAAATGAAATCAGTATCAACCAAATTCATCTTTGCAATCCAGACATAAGCTGCATCTGAAGTGGCATTTAGATGTGTTTACACATTGTTTAATGCAGGACATGAATGCATTTAACCTGCCGTTACAAATGCATAAATAATGTTTTGATATATTAAACATAAAACATTGAATACTGATATTTGAAATAATTTTAAAAATGAAAAGATACTTTAAATGTGAAATTAAAACCGCCAGTAGATGGCAGTAAGTCACTGTTAATAAGCAAGTCATTCGAACTGAACCGAATCATTTAAACGAGTGATTCATTCTGGAACGAAACACCATCATGTTGCTCAGAGACGCAAAACAGCGCTGTGGCTTTGTTTGGAATTATTTTTGTTGGCGAAATAGTGCAAAAACAGGCTATATGGTGTCTAAAACGTAAGTCTCTTAATAAAACTTCTAGTTTATTGAACTGCTGTAAAAAAAAAATCAATATCACATTTGTATATGGTGAAAAAAGGCACTCTTCCGTGTGAACTTGAGTATAAATATACACATTTTCTGCCCTCATGAGTTTGTGATCATTCTGAATGTATTTTAATAGACTGAATCGTGCAGTGATCAGGCAGAGCGCACTGCAAATGCGCATGCGCACTAGACTTCACGTAATGCCTGCACTCTGTAGCTGTTTTGAATGTTTGTTTGTTTTTGCGTCGTGAGAATATTGAGTAAAATAGCTCACTTGTCATGGTGTTACTTAACTATATCATGTTATGAATAAACTAAACATTTTGAATGTTTACCTCAGTGTGTTTCTTCTGAGTTTGTGTGTGCCGTCACGCTCATTTGTTCTGCAGTCTCGAGACAAACAGAGTGAGCCTCAGCGCGAGCTTGTATTCTGTATTCTGCTAACTTGCTGCAATTCTGTCTGATGACGCAGTAACTTGCCGCGGGGAAGAACAAATCTTCGGTCTGTCCAATGACTGTAAAGTCATTAGGTCCGTCAGACTGAAGATGCTTTAGCGGTAATGAGACCAAAAATAATTAAGACCCATCGAATCCGAATTTAAGACTTTTTAAGGCCTTATATTAGGAAAACGTTATTTAAGAAATGTTAAGACTTTTTAGGGATCCGCGGACACCCCGAGTTTACTGACAGTGTACTGCCTAAGTTTTCTTTAAAAAGAAAGTGAAAACAGACATTGTGCAGAAATAAAAGTTGCTTCACAGTATGCTACACCTGGGTTTCTTAAAAGGATAGTTCTTCCAAAAATGACAATTCTGTCATCATTTAGTTTCTTTCTTCTGTTGAGCACAAAAGAAGATATTCTTAAGAATGTTTATGGTAGCAATTGATTTCTATAGTACAGGAAAAAAATGATAAATACTGTAGAATTCAATGGCTAACGGCAACTGTTTTGAGAAGAATGGAACTCATACTGGTCCACAACAACGTTCAAAAGCCCCTAGCCCAAATTCTGTACATTAAAGAAAATTAATTAAAATAATAACACTTCAGGACTTTTAAGACGTTTTAAGAGCTGAATGTTCTTCAGGGTTCCTGCTCTTTTTAACTAAAGAATTTGCATGACCCTTACAGTCGTTCGTGATATATTGGATAAGGATTAAGAATAAGAGTTTTTAAAATATTTTTACTCGCAATTTCTACCCAATAAATTATTTTAGAGCTTGGCTTAACTGGAAAAATGTTCATTCTTTTAAAAAAATGCCCACGGAGTTGGCATGACCTCATGATCTTATTATGTTGCATGGGGCTAAAAGTTCAGTTTATCAGTTTAGTCATTTCGGTTATTTATTAGATTATTATAGACCTTATCAAACTTCATGGTCACCGTTTAGTTAAAAAAGCCAGTAAAAACCTCACACTGTAAAATAGCATGCATGCTTTTATTTTTAGCTGCACTGAATATAATACAAGAATGTAATCCTGTCTGAGTGAGAGTTAAGAGTTCCCTCTTGTAAGACTGTGTATCAGCAGCATCTATTTGAGCTTGTCTGCGACCCTTCCTAAAGACGTCTGATCCGCTACAGCACATCCCAGATCAAGATGAAAATGTCACTGCTCTGCACATGAAAGCACACATGCAGCTTGTTCTACAAGTCTGAATTACATGTTTTGTCTTCCAGTACAAATTTTAGCTTGTTAGAAAAACATTAAGCAGCCAAATCGTTTTCAACATTGAGAATAAAAAGAAATGTTTAATGAACAGAAAATCAGCATATTAGAATGATCTCTGAAGGATCAAGAGACACTGAAGACTGGAGTAATAGCTGTTGAATATTCAGCTTTACCATCACAAAAATAAATTACATTTTAAAATATATTCAAACAGAAAACAATAAATATCTTCCTGTCAAGCTGAACTGCACAAATAGGCTGTGCATGTGTATGTAAAATCAAACATATTACTAGGACATCAGCCAGGGTGTCTTTGACACATAGACCTATTACAAAAGAACAAAAGTATTGCAGGGCAATTCAGGGGACAAGATTCAAGATTTTTTTTATTTGTCACATACATGGTTATATAGAGAATATATGACCAGCAGTGAAATGTAAGAGACAAATATAGACAAATTATACACGTGACCTCTCAAAAAAAGCCTTTGTGTGGGTTGTAATTTTGTTTACAGTTTAGCAACCATAAAGAGGAGTGGTGGCATTCCGTAGGCGAGAGGCTGTTTGAAGGAGGTGGAAAAGTAGGATCTACTAACAAACTGACCTACTTCTTCACATCCTGCACCGGGGGAGAGGAGAGGTGGCTGAGCTGATATCCCACCACATAGTACACTCTTATAAAGATATAGCCACCCAGCACTAACAGTAAACCAAAAGAATGGCAGTTTTATTTTTTGGTATTGTACAAGTCCTTACAAAATGGTAAAACAATCCCATATTAAACTTAATGAAATGGTCTTTAAAATAGCTACTTAAGAAAGTGCTACTCATAGCCACTAAGTACAATTTTTAATTGAAAAATAAGCTTACAGCAAATAAATAAACAAACAAACTGAAAATGTAAAGCTTCTTAAGCTATATATTTTACACAGCATGGCACAGTTTACAGAAAATCTGCTACATCCTGAGCTATTCATTTTGACAGTAATGAAAGATCACTTTCACCATTCAGATGCAGATCTGCACTCAATTCAGCTTTTAAAATCCTAATCTCAACCACACATTCCAACATTGTGTGTGTTAGTGAAATTAAAAAGATACTAGTACTGACTAGTCACTATGTATGTGTGTATATTTGTAGAGAGAGAGACACTAGTATTCAATCAATATTAGTATTGATTAGTATAGTAGTAGTATTTATACAACAGTTACGAGTGAAATTGCTAGTGCTAATTGAATACATTATATAAATATTGGCGCCAGGTAACTATTTCCACTGTTACTGGTAACAAACTGTTCATTTATGCTACTGAATTTTATGTGGGTCTATGGTTATTCACTTCACTAGTATACTACATTTACATTTTTCCTTTCTCTTTGGAGTGTTACAAGCTCTTGGTGCATAAAGAAGATCTGTAAAGTTGCAAAGACTAAAGTCTCAAATCCAAAGAGATGATCTTTATAAAAGTTCAGAGTCAGCCACACGTACCTAAAACGGCTCGTTCTAACACGCCCCCACATGTCTACCTCACTATGTGGGAAGATTTGCATAACGCCGGCTCACGCTAGCCCAGCCTTAGCACACGCTAAGCCGACGTCGCTACGGCCGGACACGGCATCAACAGTATGTGAGGGACGTAACATTTCCGTCTCACGCTTGAGGTATTCGGCCAATCACAACACACTGGATAGCTGGCCAATCAGAGCACACCTCGCTTTTTCAGACCGATGAGCTTTGTAAAAATCGACGCGTTTCAGAAAGGCGGGGCATAGAGGATAAACAATAATGTACAGTATGTGGAAAATAATGTGTTTTTTTTTACTTTAAACCGCATAAACACATTTCATTACACCAAATAATGTTCTTTTTAGCAGCATCATATGACCCCTTTAAAGCATGTCAACATATTCTGTTACACCAAATACACAAAATAATGATCTTTAAAAAAGCATCATATGACCCCTTTAACTTTTCAAGTCTGATACAGTAAAAAATGTCCTGTATCCACCTGTTATGTGTCGGGGGCGAGGTGTGCTTCCACATAATAAGGATAGCTCGTCTGGCCAAGATAGTAGTGAAAGCAACAACCTTACAATCTCGGGCTGTCAGATCAGGTCTAAGAGATACTCCAAAGAGGGCTAAGAAGGGATCAGGGTCTATATTAGTGTTGAGAACTTTATTAAATGTATCAAATACACCTGACCAGAAAGTTGCCAGCTGTGGACATGTCCAAAACATATGCAGGTGATCAGCGGGTGAATGTTTGCAGCGGTTACAGGCAGCGCTTCTGTCTGGGTAAAATTTAGCCAACTGGGCATTGGTTAACTGGGCTCATTGTGAAATAGTATTGCAATTTAAAATAATGGTTAATTAATATACTTTAAAATATAATTTATTCCTGTGATGCAAAGCTGAATTGTCATCAGCATCATTACTCCAGTCTTTAGTGTCACATGATCCTTCAGAAACCATTCTAATATGCTTATCTATTATCAGTATTGGAAACGGTTTTGTTGCTTAATCTTTTCTGGAACCTGTGATACTTTTTATTCAGAATAAAAAGTTAAAAAGAGCAGCATTTATTCAAAATATATATATTTTGTAACAATATAAACTTCTGTTCAAAAGTTTGGGGTCAGTAATTTTTTTTTTTAAAGAAATTAATGCTTTTATTCAGCAAGGATGTGTTCAATTGATAAAAAGTGATAATAAAGACTTATATTGTTAGAAAATATTTCTATTTGACATAAATGCTGTTCTTTTTAACTTTATTCATCAAATAGGCCTAATCCTGAAAAAAAGTATCACAGGTTCCAAAAAAAAATAAGCAGCACAACTGTGATAATAAATCAGCATATTAGAATGATTTCTGAAGGATCATGTGACACTGAAGACTGGAGTAAGGATGATGCAAAATCAGCTTTGCATCACAGAAATAAATTATATTTTAAAGTATCATTATTTTAAATGGTAAGACTATTTTACAATATTACTGTTTTTTCTGTACAGCCTTGATGAACAGAAGAGACTTCTTTAAAACACATTAAAAATCTTACTGATCCCAAACTTTTGAACAGCAGTGTAAGTAACTTATAGACAACTTGGTTTGTCACAGGATCTGATGTTCTCTGCACACAAGGGCTTGAATCCAAAGGAAACTCACCTCCATCTGTTGATTCCCACGTTGGACGATCCTGCAAACCAGGGGTCCAGTATGTAAACGCATCTCAGAGTATCTGCTCTTATTATAGAGTCCCGCAGAGATGGGTTATCATGGAGCCTCAAGCCCTTCCTGAACCAGTGGATCGTGTTGACCACCATCACTCCTTATGTACCGCAGCCCCTTCTGAAATCACGAATGCTCCAGCAACGCCCATACTTGGCTTCTCAATTCTGGTATAAAGTCTGGTCTGATTACGTCTTTTTCAGCCTTGCTCAAGAAAAACTTTTCCCATGTTGAAGCTAGATCTCTGCGCTCGTGTCGGCTGAATTACACAGCGAAAATTCATATAGTTGCTTTACACACCCTGTGACTGACACGATGCGCGTGCATCAGCGAATTCAGTGTGTTTAGACTGTACGCCTAGACAAAACACTCGCCACTGACCTGACGGATTGATATTTCAAACAAAAACACGCACAGGAAAACCTCAACAAAGAAAGCACGCGAGCGTCAACATGGACTCGCGAAGACAGACAGAAAACAACAACAGCCGTTTAACTTCCTCCTAAAACGTTAAATATGCGTTCTCAGATTATATCCATATGTAAGTACACGTTCTCTATTGATATGTCAATACAAGCGTCGATTAGAGATGAATATCCACACTATTGTTGTCCTTTAGTTGAATGTCAATTATAATTCACCCCGTGAACCGTCAGCTATTAGTTGACTCCGCCCACCCACTGACGCAAACTGGCACCTACGCAGCTGATTGGTCAGATCCGCGCGGCACACGTAATAGACCATCACGTTTCTGCGGCGTGCTCGCGCAGACTCGCGCCTTTTAGCACTGGTAACATCACAATTGAGGCAGATTTTGTCAAGTTAATTACATGTTCTCGATTATGTTTGACCATGACGTGTAAAGGTCACTTAAGATAATAGTGCATTTAGATAAATGCATAGAAAAGGCTTTTTGTGCCGATGTTACTGCTCGACTCTGATTGGACAGGGCGTGAGTACCCGGATAGGCACATGAACAAAGGCACAAGGGAACAGATTAGTTTTAGGGTACATATTTGTGCACTAGTGGTAGGACGTCACTTTAAGTGTATAAAGTATTATGGCCATAACATCGCTTCAAATTTAAGGTGAACTAGTAGCAGTCTAATAATAAATGATGTCATTGTTATATAGCCTAATACATAGTAAGCTACTATATAGTAATGACTGGGGATAGTTGTCACAAGGGCTTTATACTAGTAAAACATATACCTGTTTTCTCTATCAATAATTTTGTTTTCTGGTATCAAACACCTAGTGCAAAACCTTCCAAACTAAAATTACAATAATTTTAAAGGCCTATTATCGGCTATAGATTTGGGTAAACAATGAAACCACACTGGTATGCATTGAGGCAATTACATTATAAAGGCAGGAATGTGTTCTGGAGACTAGAGTGTCAGTCATTAACCAGGTCGGGTTAAGTTGTCACATATGTTATACATAAAGCCTTATATAAAGCCTTGATTTTTTTCATTTCATTGCTTATTGGCCAAACAGTTTTTGTTAATCTCATTTGAGATATTCCTTTGTTTCTTTTTCTTTTTTCTTTTTATTTTACTGTTGAAAATTTGCTGCAACGCATGTAATAGATTATAATGGCAGGTTCTATTGTGACAACTTACCCCATAGTGTATAACACTATTGGGGCATGTTGTCATAAAAGGTTTACATTATTCGTTGTATCTTTTTTTCCTGAAATCAAACAAATGCAAAAATGTGTTGACATTCAAAACACCCGACTTGGGTTCAGGTGCAGGATATAAAAATAACAAATAAACAACAACAAAAAAATGTCTGCAGACTGAAATTACAGCTCCAAAAATGTATTTAACAAACAGCACAACGTTTCGACCAGTCAAGTCTTCATCAGGAACAACTGATGATCTTTTTTCCTGGGCAATGGAAACAGTTTGATCGCTTTGTTGTATCAGTGTAGCATAATATGTTGCAAAGTATTTTCAAATTTCAATCTGACATTACTTTTCTATTTATCAGCATTGATAGTTCATTTGGTACAAATCTTGTATTTGGAGGCAGTAAATAGCCTATGATGAAAGATCAATATGTTGAGAAAAACAGCAATTCACAAAGGGGACTACTATATTAATCCAATATATAATTCGTTTATTGACTAGGTCTGCGCTTCGATAGATACAGAGAACATTAACATACAATAAAGTAATTGAAGCAATTTATCATTTAAAGATCAAGCCTCTTTTTTACTGCTTTACTGCTGATTTGAGATCAGGGGTTGTCATTTTGTTAATCATAGAAACTAGTCTGGACAGACCTAAATGTCAACCAACTTGATATAACCTATATCTTTCATCCCCTATGAAATTATTGACAGATTTCAGGCGAATGAGGGTAATTTGTAATGTCACTGACTGATGTCTGAGTTCAGACTATTATTGTCGTTAGAGTGAATAAGACATGATGATTGCTTTGGTTGAACACTAGATGGCAGTCTACCACGACAAAATCCTAAATTCAAGAACGTATCTCAAATACAGATGCATCTCAATAAATTAGAATGTCGTGGAAAAGTTAATTTATTTCAGTAACAACTCAAATTGTGAAACTCGTGTATTAAATAAATGCAATGCACACAGACTGAAGTAGTTTAAGTCTTTGGTTCTTTTAATTGTGATGATTTTGGCTCACATTTAACAAAAACTAAATCTCAACAAATTAGAATATGGTGACATGCCAATCAGCTAATCAACTCAAAACACCTGCAAAGGTTTCCTGAGCCTTCAAAATGGTCTCTCAGTTTGGTTCACTAGGCTACACAATCATGGGGAAGACTGCTGATCTGACAGTTGTCCAGAAGATAATCATTGACACCCTTCACAAGGAGGGTAAGCCACAAACATTCATTGCCAAAGAAGCTGGCTGTTCACAGAGTGCTGTATCCAAGCATGTTAACAGAAAGTTGAGTGGAAGAAAATGTGTGGAAGAAAAAGATGCACAACCAACCGAGAGAACCGCATCCTTATGAGGATTGTCAAGCAAAATCGATTCAAGAATTTGAGTGAACTTCACAAGGAATGGACTGAGGCCGGGGTCAAGGCATCAAGAGCCACCACACACAAACGTGTCAAGGAATTTGGCTACAGTTGTCATATTCCTCTTGTTAAGCCACTCCTGAACCACAAACAACGTCAGAGGCGTCTTACCTGGAGAAGAAGAACTGGACTGTTGCCCAGTGGTCCAAAATCCTCTTTTCAGATGAGAGCAAGTTTTGTAATTCATTTATCAACTCAAAACACCTGCAAAGGTTTCCTGAGCCTTCAAAATGGTCTCTCAGTTTGGTTCACTAGGCTACACAATCATGGGGAAGACTGCTGATCTGACAGTTGTCCAGAAGACAATCATTGACACCCTTCACAAGGAGGGTAAGCCACAAACATTCATTGCCAAAGAAGCTGGCTGTTCACAGAGTGCTGTATCCAAGCATGTTAACAGAAAGTTGAGTGGAAGGAAAAAGTGTGGAAGAAAAAGATGCACAACCAACCGAGAGAACCGCAGCCTTATGAGGATTGTCAAGCAAAATCGATTCAAGAATTTGAGTGAACTTCACAAGGAATGGACTGAGGCTGGGGTCAAGGCATCAAGAGCCACCACACACAGACGTGTCAAGGAATTTGGCTACAGTTGTCGTATTCCTCTTGTTAAGCCACTCCTGAACCACAGACAACGTCAGAGGCGTCTTACCTGGGCTAAGGAGAAGAAGAACTGGACTGTTGCCCAGTGGTCCAAAGTCCTCTTTTCAGATGAGAGCAAGTTTTGTATTTCATTTGGAAATCAAGGTCCTAGAGTCTGGAGGAAGGGTGGAGAAGCTCATAGCCCAAGTTGCTTGAAGTCCAGTGTTAAGTTTCCACAGTCTGTGATGATTTGGGGTGCAATGTCATCTGCTGGTGTTGGTCCATTGTGTTTTTTGAAAACCAACGTCACTGCACCTGTTTACCAAGAAATTTTGGAGCACTTCATGCTGCTTTCTGCTGACCAGCTTTTTGAAGATGCTGATTTCATTTTCCAGCAGGATTTGGCACCTGCCCACACTGCCAAAAGCACCAAAAGTTGGTTAAATTACCATGGTGTTGGTGTGCTTGACTGGCCAGCAATCTCACCAGACCTGAACCCCATAGAGAATCTTTTGTCAAGAGGAAAATGAGAAACAAGAGACAAAAAAATACAGATGAGCTGAAGGCCACTGTTGGGCTTTCATACCACCTCAGCAGTGCCACAAACTGATCACCTCCATGCCACGCCGAATTGAGGCAGTAATTAAAGCAAAAGGAGCCCCTACCAAGTATTGAGTACATGTACAGTAAATGAACATACTTTCCAGAAGGCCAACAATTCACTAAAAATGTTTTTTTATTGGTCTTATGAAGTATTCTAATTTGTTGAGATAGTGAATTGGTGGGTTTTTGTTAAATGTGAGCCAAAATCATCACAATTAAAAGAACCAAAGACTTAAACTACTTCAGTCTGTGTGCATTTAATTTATTTAATACATGAGTTTCACAATTTGAGTTGAATTACTGAAATAAATGAACTTTTCCACGACATTCTAATTTATTGAGATGCACCTGTAGTTTCTTGATCTGATACTTTTTAATAGAATAAGTATGAGATACAAATTAATTATCAGAATAAAAAATTAATTGTAATGAAACTATGAGGTTCAGTGCGTTTCATTAAGAAAAAACAAGTTACACTTTCAAACTGTTAAGTAAGTCCCTTATAAGTCTTAATTTTTTGTTATCCAAAGAGGTCAGTGTTGAGTAAAATATGGCCCCCTCTTATTAAAGCAGGTTTGAAAACATTTAAATGATAAAGTGTATTTCAGCTCTAAAAGCATCTTTTTTTTTTGCTTTCTTATGTTACAGTCACTGATGCTATTGCAATCTCTTAAGTCTTTAAACATAAATGTCTTTTTGTAATGTAATTTTGAGTTATGTCTATTATTTAGTAGGCTATTTTTACTTTGTGCAATTTTGTGCAATTTTCTTACTGCATTGGTCAAAGCTACTAGGAAAATAAGAAGTGCTTGATGTCTCACTTTTATTCTTAGTTTTACATTGAAAACATATGACCTTTGTATGTTGGAGTGAAGTTAACAAGAAGCCTCCATTCAAGATGACTGATATATTATGCATACTCTTCATTATTAATGAACAGGAATCTGGTTACTCTGAGCCCCATATGAAAGGGAGAATGGGGAAGAGGACAGGTGTTAATTTGATCCCTTGCTTTTTGTCCTCAAACATGCTGCCCTGCTTGGTCTACTGGATCGGAGTAGTTTCATGCATGCTGACTACTAGTTGTATAAAGCCTATCTGTTTGTTTTGGCCACTTAAGACCACTAGATCTAAAGCTCTGCTTTCACTCCAGAGACCAATTACAGTTTATTTGCTGATGGAGTTCTTAGTAAATGGAATGCAATCTTATCAGAGTAAAAAAATCTGGGAACAGTGGGGTTAATGAGCAGTTCAGTAGTAAATTTACTTAATTGCAACTTTTCATTTTAAAGCAAAATTATAAAAAGCATTATCTATCTATCTATCTATCTATCTATCTATCTATCTATCTATCTATCTATCTATCTATCTATCTATCTATCTATCTATCTATCTATCTATCTATCTATCTATCTA